GCAAATGAATCAGATACGGATTAGCTATAATCTTATCGTATTTGCATCCATTACTAATTATGGATACAAATACAAATATAGATGTCCCAGTGAGAAAAACTCATATCTATTTGTCAAAATCGGATATGGATACAAATCAAATAATATGGATATAAAACGAATATGAGAAAGACATATAAGATTGAAATAATGTATAGGTCATATGAAATAAGAGAGTCCATTAATATGTTTTATAGATATGAAAAAGCTAAGATTAGATCTGTGGATCATCAAAACCTAATCCTAAATCCATGAATCTAATGGTCAACACAATGACAATTGTTTAATCAACCTATTTGAATACTTCAGATATAGATCTGGATATTTCACTCTATATTCATATCCGTATTCTACTGAATTGGATAATTAGTAACCATATCCATATCCTATGGATATATATGCCTATACGATTATTTTGCACGAATACTTGTGAGTTGTGAGTTGTTCAATGTAACCTAGGAGTGCAGATAATCTATATAGAATCTCTAAGGAGGATCTTCCCCTCTTTTTTCAGCACTCCTAGGTTACATCGAGAAAATGGGTGAAAATCCAATAGTGGGTCTAGGCAGATCCAAATATAGTCGTGGAGGTCAATTTTTGTATTTTTCAGCCTAGGGACATGAATGTTAATTTGGTATATTTCAGTTTAGGGACGTGGAGGTTAAAGTTGATTTGGCCCACTATAGTGACGTAGAGGTCAAATTTAGAAATTTCCCAATTTAGCGATTTAAATGTCAAATATTGATTTGGTCCAGTTTAGCGACGTAGAGGTCAAATTTGATTTGTTGTTTGAATTGTGTATTTTGGCTAGTTTAACAACTTAGGGGTCGATAAAATCAAACATTTTGAATGTTATTTGTTTACACATTTTGTATAAAATTTTCTTGTGGTGCATTTTTTACACCGAATTTTGTTCAGTTTAAGGCTGTAGAGGTCCGTCACTTTGGGGTGGGCGGTGGTGGGTAGGGGGGGGGCTTTGCATCTACTGTTTGGGTATCCTTTGTGATTTCCGCATTTTCTGAACTGCTATGTAATTTCTACAACTTTGAAGACTATCCTGTAATTTTTGAATCTTTTTGAGAACTGTTTTGTAATTTCTGCATCTTTTAAGGATTGTTTGTAAATCTTGATTGAACTGTAGTTTCTGGGCTTTCTAGGGGTTAAACTAAGCAGAACTGCATTTTCTGATTTCTTCATGGACTGATTTATAATTCTTGCTTTAAGAGGATTGTTTGGAATTTTTCCAATTTCTATAATTCTTTTGGCTCTTTTGCAATTTTCCCCTTTGAACTTTTCTTTCTCCCTTCCCTGGTTGTTGTCGTGTTGAGTTTTTTTTTTTTTTAGATTTTTAACTTATCTTTTGTTGATCAATTAATTAAAGATAATATCAACATAATGCCAGTGGACAATTGTAAAGTTTTTTTTTTTCTTTTGATTGTCTGTCGGTCATGAGTACTGTACGTCGGACCCATTTAATTTGATAGCTTTTCAGTCGTGAGGATTGTAGGTCCGAGGTTTTTAGACTGCTTGCCGGTCACGAGTACCGTAGGTCGGAGCCGTTTTCTGATTGTCTGCTGGTCATGAGGACTGTAGGTTGAAGCCTTTATATTATTTAGTTTAAAATTCATTGTTTTGATGAATTTGTTGTTCTGTAGCAACCAAGGGGGGTAGAGAGAGACAAACAATTTGTTAACACTTGGTAAAAAAATTTCCACTTAATTCTTTTGCCTTTTGCCTCAATTCCTTTGCCTTGGGATCTTGAGAGTAGCTGCTTGGAGGCGTTAATTTTGCTGCTGATAGCTTCATGAGAGGGAAGACCTGTCTTTGAAAGGGGATTGCTTGATGACTTCTTGACCTTGTTTGATATTGGTTCTGTTGATGGCAAAGGGTAGAAGGAGTTGGCTACGTAATTTTTTTATAGCTTTTGATTGCTGGTGGCCAAAAGAAAAAGAATGTGCTAATGGAAAATCATCTTGTTTCTTTTTGTTAGTTTTCTTTGGGCTGTAGGGGGAATTTTTTCGCTGCTGGTTTTTTTTTCCCCTTGTGGGGGTTTATATAGAATAGTAGAAGGTGAGGATATTGAGAAGGTTGTGTTTTCAAAAGAAACTTGCTGGCCAATTCATTTTTTTGAATCTGAATTTAATATCTTTCCATGCATTCATGATAAGATTAAGCTTGAAACTAAATGTTATCTTTAATTGAAGATTTTTTAAATCTAATTCTCAATAATATCTTTTAGATAATTGCCTGACATAATCCATCAATTGCTCATTATTAGCAGCTTTGTGCATGTGCACTATGCACTCAAGAGAAAGCATGTCAATTGTCACGTGCACTATGCACTTAAGAGCAAGCATGTCAATTGTACGTTTCTTTTACAATTAACCCCCTTAAAAATTAATTTCATGGCTTAAGGACATAAATAAAAAATTCCGATATGATTCAAATCACTTTTTGGATGGTATATGTAACCATCTTAGCTAAGTTTGGCATTGTATAGTTATATCACCACTACTTCAATTGTCATATGCACTATGCACTCAAGAGCAAGCATGTCAATTGTACGTTTCTTTTACAATTAACCCCCTTAAAAATTAATTTCATGGCTTAAGGACATTAATACCCATCTTGTAAGCTAAGTTTGGCATTGTATAGTTATATCAACACTACTTCAAGGACTTGTCTTAATGTGCTAATTCTAGATCAAAAATAACTTAACGCAAAGCATTCATCTTAAGTAACTAGAAACCATAGGTTGCTTAAATGTAATTTTGGAGTATCCGCAAAATTAGAGTAATAAAATGATCTGGTGGTCATACCACTAGCAATGCTTTATGACTTATCTTGTTGTACAACATATCCTGAAAAATAGTAGTAGTGATTGAATATTTCATTACAAAGCGACTGTCTCCCCATAAATTTTAAATTGAGGATAGATGAGGTATACTATATTGAGATGGTTTAGATATGTGCAATGAGCACTCACATGCCTGCTAATTATAAGTGATATGGTTCCAATTAATGAATCAAGTAGTATGGGTGCACCTACACATATACGGACCAAATCATTCACAAAAGACATGATGATAATTGTTAGTTTGATCCAAAAAAAAGAGATGACTATTAA